TCTACATTAAGTGTCTCTCCTAATGCGGATTATCCCTCCCCTAGCCCCTAACCCTCCCGATAGGCCCCAATGTGTGATGTTCCCCTCCCTGTTTCCATGTGTTCTCATTGTTCGATTCCCACTTAAGAGTGAGAACATGCGGTGTTTGGTTTTCTGTTTCTATGTTAGTTTGCTCAGAGTGATGGTTTCCAGCTTCATCCATGTTCCTGCAAAGGACATGAATTCATCTTTTTTTATGGCTACATAGTATTCCATGGTGTGTATGTGCCACATTTTCTTTATCCAGTCTGTCATTGATGGGCATTTAGGTTGGTTCCAAATCTTTGCTATTGTGAACAGTGCTGCAGTAAACATGTGTGTGCATGTTTCTTTATAGTAGAATGATTTATAGTCCTTTGGATATGCACCCAGTAATGGGATTGCTGGATCAAATGGTATTTCTTTTTCTAGATCCTTGAGGAATCGCCACCCTGTCTTCCACAGTGGTTGAACTAATTTACACTCCCACCCACAGTGTAAAAATGTTCTGCTTCTCCACATCCTCTCCAGCATCTTTTGTTTCCTGACTTTTTAATGATCACCATTCTAACACGAGATGGTATCTCATTGTGGTTTTGATTTGCATTTCTCTAATGACCAGTGATGATGAGCTTTCTTTCATATGTTTGTTGGCCGCATAAATGTCTTCTTTTTGAGAAATATCTGTTCATATCCTTCACCCACTTTTTGATGGGTTTTTTTGCTTTTTTTCTTGTAAATTTGTTTAAATTCTTTGTAGATTCTGGATATTAGCCCTTTGTCAGATTGATAGATCGCAAAAATTTTCTCCCATTCTGTCGTTTGCCTGTTCACTCTGATGATAGTTTCTTTTGCTGTACAGAAGCTCTTTAGTTTAATTAGATCCCATTTGTCCATTTTGGCTTTTCTTGCCATTGCTTTTGATGTTTTAATCATGCAGTCTTTGCCCATGTCTATGTCCTGAATGGCATTACCTAGGTTTTCTTCTAGGGTTTTTATGGTTTTAGATCTTACATTTAAGTCTTCAATCCATCTTGAGTTAATTTCTATATAAGGTGTAAAGAAGGGGTCCAGTTTCAGTTTTCTGCATATGACTAGCCAGTTTTCCCAACACCATTTATTAAATACGGAATCCTTTCCCCATTATTCATTTTTGTCAGGTTTGTCAAAGATCAGATGGTTGTAGATGTGTGGCATTATTTCTGAGGCCTTTGTTCTGTTCTGTTGGTCTATATATCTGTTTTGGTACCAGTACCGTGCTGTTTTGGTTACCGTAGCTTTGTAGTATGCTTTGAAGTCAGGTATTTTATTTCTCCTTTGCTTATGAAGCTTAGGTTGGCTGTATATGAAATTCTTGACTGAAAATTATTTTCTTTAAAAATGTTAAACATTGCCCCCCCTGCCCCCGTGCCGCCCATTCTCTGTTGGCTTGTAGGGTTTCTGCGGAGAGATCTGCTGAAATTTCTGCGGGTAACTCAGCCTTTCTGTCTGACTGCCCTTAACATTTTTTCCTTCACTTCAACCTTGATGAATCTGATGACTTTTTGTGTCTTGGAGTCGTTCTTCTCTAGGAGTATCTTTGTGGCGTTCTCTGTATTTCCTGAATTTGAATGTTGGCCTGTCTTGCTAGGTTGGGGAAGTTCTCCTGGATAATATTCTGAAGAGTGTTTTCCAACTTGGTTCCATTCTCCCCATCACTTTCGGGTACACTAATCAAATGTAGATTAGGTCGTTTCACATAGTCCTATATTTGTTCATTCCTTTTCATTCCTGTTTTTCTAACCTTGTCTTCATGCTTTATTTCATTAAGTTGATCTTCAGTCTCTGATATCCTTTCTTCCACTTGATTGATTCACGTATTGATATTTGTGTATGCTTCATGAAGTTCTCATGCTGTGTTTTTCAGCTCCATCAGATCATGTAAGTTCCTCTCTAAAATGGTTATTCTAGTTAGCAATTCCTCTAGCCTTTTTTCAAGGTTCTTGCCTTCCTTGCTTTGGGCTAGAGCATGCTTCTTTAGCTCGGAGGAGATTGTTATTATCCACCTTGTGAAGCCTACTTATGTCAATTTGTCAAACTCATTCTCTGTCCAGTTTTATTCCCTTGCTGACGAGGAGTTGTGATCCTTTGGAGCAGAAGAGGCATTCTGGTTTCTGCAATTTTCAGCCTTTTTGCACTAGTTTTTCTTCATCTTCGTGGATTTATCTCCCTTTGGTCTTTGATGTTGGTGACCTTCGGATGGCGTCTCTCAGTGGATGTCCTCTTGATGTTGATGCTGTTCCTGTTTGTTAGTTTTCCTTCTAACAGTCAGGTTCTTCTGCTGCAGGTCTGCGGGAGTTTGCTGGAGGTCCACTCCAGACCCTGTTTGCCTGGGTATCAACAGCAGAGGCTGCAGAACAGCAAAGATTGCTGCCTGTTTCTTCCTCTGGAAGCTTCATCCCAGAGGGGCATTCACCAGATGACAGCTGAAGCTCTCTTGTATGAGGTGTCTGTTGACCCCTACTGGAACGTGTCTCCCAGTCAGGAGGCATGCAGGTCAGGGACCCACTTGAGGAGACAGTCTGTCCGTTAGCGGAGCTCAGGCATTGTGCTGGGAGATCCACTGCTGTCTTCAGAGTCAGCAGGCAGGGACATTTAAGTCTGCTGAAATTGTGTCCATAGCCATCCCTTCCTCCTGATGCCCTGTCCCAGGGAGATGGGAGTTTTATCTGTAAGCCCCTCACTGGGGCTGCTGCCTTTTTTTTCAGAGATGCTCTGTCCAGAGAGGAGAAATCTAGAGAGGCAATCTGATTACAGCAGCTTTGCCGAGCTGTGGTGGGCTCTACCCAGTTTGAACTTCCCAGTGGCTTTGTTTACACTGAGGGAAAACCGCCTACTCAAGCCTCAGTAATGGCAGACACCTCTCCCCACTCCAAGCTTGAGATCCCGGGTTGACTTCAGACTGCTGTTCTGGAAGTGAGAATTTCAAGCTAGTGGATGTTAGCTTGCTGGGCTCCATGGGGGTGGGATCCATGGAGCTAGAACTTGGCTCCCTGGCTTCAGCCCCCTTTTACAATTCTGTCTCGCTGTTGTTCCAGGCGCCATTGAGGTATGAAAAAAAAAAAACTGCAGCTAGCTTGGTGTCTGCCCAAATGGCTGTCCAGTTTTGGGCTTGAAATCCAGGGCCCTGCTAGTGTAGGCACCCAAGGGAATCTCCTGGTCTGTGGGTTGCAAATATCATGGGAAAAGCATAGGGCCAGAATGCACTCTTCCTCACGGAACTGTCCCTCACTGCTTCCCTTGGCTAGGGGAGGGAGTTCCCCAATCCCTTGCACTTCCTGGGTGAGGCAACACCCCACCCTGCTTTGGCTCGCCCTCCATGGGCTGCACCCACTCTCTAACCAGTCCCAGTGAGATAGGCCAGGTACCTCAGTTGGAAATGCAGAAATCACCCATCCTCTGCATTGATCTCACTGAGACCTGCGGACCGGAGCTGTTCCTATTCGGCCTTCTCTTTTATTAGCTGTTCCTATTCGACCCACACCTCTTTTATTTGCTTTTTAAATGTCTTTGAGAAGAGTAAAAAAATTTATATCTCAATGTTAGCACATAAACTGAAAATCTTGTCATTTAGAATTTCATACAGTAGATATTTTAGATGATTCACTTTGTTTCTAATTCATATGTTTTTGTAGGTAAGTAACCAAGTCAGCTAAGAAAAAGGAAAAAAAGTATGCAAACGTCAACCCATTTCCCATTTTAGCTGATCTTGGACCATTACTTAAGTATTTTCTTTTATTTTCTCAGTTGCTGAGTGAAATGCCCTTGCACTCCTATTTTCTGTTTTGAATGGAGCTGTAATTTATATTCTATTTTAAAAAGGCTTTAAGAAGCATATTTTGTTTATTTTTAATGTATGCTGAAGTTTTAGGGGGAATAGCAAACCAAAATCTTTTCTTAAATGAGAATCAAAATGAACCAATTTAATATCATTTTAGGTATTATTCTGAAAATGTGAAAAAAAGTTTTTGTTCCTCATATAATAGAAAAATAATGTCTATGTTAATCTGGTCAAACAGATAAAACCAAAATAATCAGTATAGTCTAATTCTGTCTTTTTAAGCTAGACTGACACTGCCAATAGTACTCTTGTGCCATTTGGGGACTTGTAAGCAGACATTTAATAAATGTTTGTTAAATTAGTGAATGAATATATATACATATATATATATAGATGTAAACTTATATTCATGCCAAATAATAAACAGCATGCTGATCACAAATCTTGGAGTCTATTATTACCAAATTTTGCTCATTAAAACTTAAAAGGATGCAGGTGAACTTTAACAATATTATCATTATTTCAAATTAAATGAAAATTTATAGACAAATTAAAATTTTCAGAATATTTTTCTTAAGTTATTTCCTAAAATGTCACTTGTAGTTGTGTATGTTATTTTGAGAAAAATTTTTTCATGCGTTGTCGATTAGCTACTTATTAGAAATGACTTCCATTCAATACATTAGTGATCAGGTGTTGGAGGGTGAAGAACTTTATGCCCTTTTTTAATGTGCAGAATATTCTGAATCTGGTATGGTAACTCTTGCACCAAGTATGAACATAGAAATGTCATAGTGGGTTTTCCCACTATTGTTGCCAGGTGGCCTGTTTCCGTATTGTGATAGTGTTGAGTAAGGGTTAGAGTCCTAGAGATTCCTGTGGCCTCTTTTCTCCCGCATTGAGCACTGATTTCATAGTATTTGTCTGTTGCAATAGAATGAAAATGTCTTTATGGTAGAGGCCTTGTCTTCTGTGTTGTACTTTTGTGCCCTCAGTTTTAATCACAGTGACTGTCACTGAGCAGTCCTTCACATATTTGGGGAATGAATAAATGTCCCATAAAAATAAGAGAAAAGTTTATAAACATTCAAGTGGTAAGCCATGCATCAATACAATGTGTGATAAACAAAGATAAATATATGTTCCATTTTTCTCCCCACAGTCTCCAAACGTCCACAACTATCCCGATATGGAAGCCGTTCCCCTGTTGCTAAATAATGTGAAAGGGGAGCCCCCGGAGGACTCGTTATCAGTAGATCACTTCCAAACACAAACTGAGCCAGTGGACTTGTCAATAAACAAAGCCAGGACGTCCCCTACTGCCGTTTCATCCTCCCCAGTTTCCATGACAGCGTCTGCCTCCTCACCTTCTTCAACTTCAACCTCCTCATCGTCTTCTAGTCGTCTAGCCTCATCCCCAACCGTTATCACATCAGTATCTTCAGCGTCATCTTCGTCAACAGTATTAACTCCAGGTCCCCTTGTTGCCTCTGCATCTGGTGTTGGAGGCCAGCAGTTTTTGCACATTATCCATCCTGTACCGCCTTCAAGTCCCATGAATTTACAGTCTAACAAACTGAGTCATGTTCACCGCATCCCCGTGGTGGTACAGTCGGTGCCTGTTGTCTACACAGCTGTAAGGTCACCTGGAAATGTGAACAACACTATTGTCGTGCCGCTTTTGGAGGATGGGAGAGGCCATGGCAAAGGTAAGAGGCATGAACAAAGTCTTGATTGATTTCAGCACTAGAGGTCACTTCATTTTTTTACATTGAACATTTTTGCATTGTATGCAAACCCTACATCTAAAGAATTTCTGTGTAGAGCAATGCAGAGAGACAGTAGCTGTTCAGTTTTCAAGGAGAGCAGTTTAGTGGGAACTCACCCTATGTTTATGTAACTGTATGCCAATTTTGCTTAGCGTATTTTTATTTACCATAGGTCACATAAGGTCAGAATTCAGACATCTAAGTTTGCAAAATAATACTTGCTTTTAAATGCTCATCTTTAAGTGCTCAGTTGGAAAGGGCAATCTATGGTTAAACATGATTGCTTATGAGATATAGATTATAGATTATAAAGTGTAAATTTTTTAAGTAAATCAGGATATTTCTTTGTTGTTTAGTTGGAATTTATTTAGGTGGTGATAATATAAAATGTTGTGAAGTTGGCAATGCCTGGAATCTAATCATTCACTTTTGAGTAACCTGTAAATTAACTTGCCATTAAAATAATTCTAAAGTCAGGTGTTTGACTGTAATAGTATCATGTAGCTTGTGTTATTAACTTATAAGGCGAAGTCATTTTAAGGAACAGGATGACTCAATATAGTGGAAATATTTCAAGATGCAATATTAATATTCCCTTCCAGGGTCTAAAAGGCAAGAAGATACTTTGTCACTTGACTATATGTAATAATCACTAGTTATTTAATTAGATTTGATAGTTATGCCGCTGATCATGAAGTTATTTTCTACTTTTAAGTTCTTTTTTTCCCCAAATTTTACTAGAACGAATTATAGTGGCATCATGCTGTCTTTTCTTTCTTTACTACCTATGAATCTAAAAAAAAAGCCAGCCCTCAATAGAAATGCAAAATGCCCATAATCAGTGACTCATTCCCTTTTAAAGTAAATACATATGTATGTATTTTTTCTTCAGAGCCTAGAAGTAATGATGGATTAAAATTCATGTTATATTACTTTTTGCTTTGACACTGTATTACTACTGAGGCCTGTAATTAAAATATGATCGATGAGTACAGAAAACACTGCCTCCTCATAAAATGCTAGTAAATGTGGTTGTTTTGGTTCTTGTATAAGGTGGGAATAAATACATAGAAGTAACATTTGATTGTGAACTTACAGAAATTTTTGCAGATATGAATTACAAAATTGTGCATTCATCATTAGCAAGATATTGTTTTATCTGCAGTGAGTTTTTTCACCGCACATGAAATAACTTTCACCTTCCCAGTTTAACCAAGTTAAAATCTGATGATTCAGAGCATCCAGGCACTTTAGACTGCAAACTTGAGATGCAGACACTCCTTGCTTACCTGGTAATTTCTTTCTTTTGTTCTCTATTGGGCCAGGAGCTAGTCCCACCATCCTCTAGTGAAAAGGTGGAGGAAAAAGAGGAATTAGGGAGCCAGACCCTCTTTGATATTGCTGACACATCTGATTGAACTGAACCAATTAAATTTGAATAGTAATAACTGCAGGCCAAATCAGATATTTATTTTCTTTTACAATTTAGAAGTAAGATGGTAATTTTTTTAAGAATTAGGAATTAAAATTTAGCAAAACATGCAAACTTGCATATTATTTTATATATGTGTGTATGTGTACACAATTGAACCCAATCTTTGTGTAAGATAAAAATTGCTTTATTGTAAAGTTGATAAAGATATTAATGCTGCTCATGACCTTTCATACAATGTTGATTCACTAATGAAAGAAACAAAAGTGATATTTTTTTTTGTTTGCCATGATCGTTTTGTGGGATTTTTATTTTAAAAGTATAATATATAAAGTATATTGCTAAAATTTAATTTTCTGGAAAAGGAATTATTGCAGCAGAAATTTTAAGACTCATGCTATAATTTGATCTCTACATGAATATGTTTGTTTCATGCAGCATTCGTTACTCAGCAGTTTTCTCATATCAATAACAAAAATTTAAAGCAGCCAGGCGTGGTGGCTCACGCCTATAATCCCAGCACTTTGGGAGGACAAGGCGGGTGGATCATGAGGTCAAGAGATTGAGACCATCCTGGGCAGCATGGTGAAACCCAGTCTCTACTAAAAATACAAAAATTACCTGGGCATGGTGGCGCACGCCTGTAGTCCCAGCTACTTGGGAGGCTGAGGCAGGAGAATTGCTTGAAACCATGAGGCGGAGGTTATGGTGAGCCGAGATCATGCCATTGCACTCCAGCCTGGGTAAAAAAAATTTAAAGCATAAATCCTGTGGACTGTGCTATGGTCATTAGGAACATGGGATTTTGGATCAAGGATGTATGCATTAGAACCCTAGCTCTGTCACTGACAGCTGTGTAAATGGGAAAGTCATTTAATCTCATTAATTCTTCATTTATATTAGTGATTAAATGGGGATAATAACATGATCTAGCCTAGAAAATTATTGGGAAAATTAAGAACATATAAATGTCTAGCATCAATTAATTATCAATAAATGCTTGAAATTACTTATTATCTCTCCCAAAAAATATCAAAATCAATAATATTAAAAAAAAGTTTTCTCTTTTTGATAAAAACAAATATGGAGGAACAAAAACTTGTTGAATTTTAAAAAGCAAAACTGCCTCAAGACATTGGTATGGAACTGTTTCTCAAAGTTTTTACTATGACAAATTATAAGGGATGAGAGTTTGACATGAGAAATTATCTGAGGACATCCCATATTTTCTATTTTTATTAGTTTATACTAAGTTTTTATAATCACCATATTCTACAAATGTTGCTATAGCATTTTATAAGTTTTTTTTATTGCGTAACTGATTAATTAGGTAATAGTAAAACTGTCTAGAAGAGGAAGCCTGCCTACCTCACAGAATGAATAAAAGAAAGGGCATTTCAGTAATTCCTCAATTCTTTGTTTTGGACATATGCAGCTGGGCAGTGAGCCAACAATGAAGGCTGAGAATAAAGGGAGCCCCCATTTCCCTTCCTACTTAAGATGTGTATTTTTGGTATGGATGAGCAAAGGAAAATACAGTAGGGAAGTTGAATTTTCAAAACACTAATAATAAAAATACAAAATGTAACACTTAAATATAGATCATTGCACTGGCTAGTTACTTTTAAAGTTGGTATAGCGTATCTGGTCTCTGATGGAGAAATAGATTACCCTACATGTCACATTACATGAAGGACTGTGAAGGCGCATGTCTGTGTCTAAGCTCACGTGTCCTGTCAGAATCATTTCTCCTTTCAGCTGTTATTATTCGTCTATCATTATCAGGCATTTTATTGACACCAAAGATACAGTGTTGGACAAAGCAGATGTTGTTTCTGTCTCATAGTGCTTACAGTGTAATGAGAGCTACTGACACTCCACAAGATAATCATAGAAACAAATAGCTGATAATTGTGGACAGAGGTGGACTAAAAATAGACCAGCCAGGGAGTTGCCCAGTGGAATGGCTTTAATTATAATCGCAAATAGGGAAAGCTGTATTTGACCAAAGTATTTTCATGTAGGATGTCATGTTCTAAGAAGACCTGCACTTACTGTGGTGCTCAGGGGATGGGGAGGGTTTAGGGAAGGGTGGGGTGAAACTCCCACCAGGGATACTTGACTAAGGACAGAATGGCATGAAAAGACTTTTTTTTAAAAAATCCTTCCTGAGAAGTGTGAAAATGACTTCTAGTGAGGCAAAACCTCAGCCTTTCCAAGTATGTAAAGAATAGTGATCTAAAGCAGTGGCAGATTGTCAGCTAGCACAGAACACCCAGACATCTCTAGTGGGCATTGGATGTAATATGTGATACGAAGAAAAATGGATGATGTTCTAAAAAGTATATTAAACAAACATAATTTAGAATTGAGCTATAAGAGGGAGGACGTCAGAAAATGTCCTGAGGAAGACTTTTTTCCATATGACACCAAAGGATAAGCTGCAGGTAGCCCCCCACAGTGGTGGTACTGGGAAGTGCAGGGCTCTCCACAGAGACGAGAGTTTTGTTACTGTATTATTAGGTTGGTGCAAAAGTAATTGCATTTTTTGGTCAGTGGAATGGCAAAAAACTGCAGTTACTCTTGCACCAACCTATACTATGGGATCTGAGACATGGTATTTATAAACCGGGCCCTAAAGGGATTATTTGACCTCACAAAAAACTTTCAATCCTTCTTGGGTAAGTTTGTGGCACATAACCTGGGAGGCATTCCTTAGCTTTTACAGATATTTAATAGCAGAAAAGCTTTCAGCAAGCTTGTCCAACCCGCAGCTGTGTGCTGCATGCAATCCAGGACTGCTTGAATGAGGCCCAACACAAATCTGTAAACTTTCTTAAAACGTTATGAGACTTTTTGGCAACCTTTTTTAACTCATCAGCTATCATTAGTGTTGGTGTGTTTTAAGTATGGCCCAAGATAATTTTTCTTCTTCCAATGTGGCCCAGGGAAGCCAAAGATTGGACACCCCTGGCATAGAGGGTCAAGACAGATGACAGGCAAAGTTGTTCTTAGTTCATTGTTGGCTTTGCCTTGATGGAAGAGCAGGTGTGTTTAGGATGCTCCTTCCTTCCAATATGCAGTATGCATTTACTTCATACCAACCACATTTCTAGGAATTAGTGTCCCAAAATGAGCAAGTCCCTACTATCAGGGACCTTACATTTTAGTAGTGTAGAGACAGTTCATGACTATCAGGTGGTGTAAGTGCTGTGAAGAAAAATAAGGCATGATAAGGAAGATGGAAAGTTAATAGGAGAAGGCACAGTATTCGGTATAAGCAAGGAAGGCCTCTCTGAGAAGTAAGCTATGCCAGGAAGAGCTGGGGGAAGACCTTTGCACAAAGAGAACTGCAGGTTCAAAGAACTCTGAGGCATGAGTGAGTATGGCCTTTGTGAGGAGGAGCTTCTAGGAGGCTGGTGGAACTAGAAAGGCTTGGGTAGGGGGAAATGAAGGATCTGGTAGATTTCCAAGGCAATGCTGTGCAGTCTTTGGTTTTGTTTTAAAT